TTACAAAAGAAAAGTCTCAGATCGTTAATTATTTGTCAAAACTAAATTATCGGTTCTAAATATTTTATTTTCTTATAAACTTAGTTCACAAGAGTAAATTTATAAACGGGAGAAATCGATTCAGAAATATTCGATTTCCATATCGAATAATTTCGCAACGTCACTATTTATTACGTGTCATAACGTTGCAACACTGAAATTGTCAAATCTGGAATGGAATTAAAATTCCGAGTATAGGTATATAATTTCAGGTCAATCGATAATCGATTTAAAAAAAAAATAGTTTCAGAGATTCTACTTCACAAACATACATACATTCATAAAAAGTTGACGGCACGGTTGACGCAGTGGCTGGGGAACTGGCAGCTGTGCAACGTGCCTCGTGTTCAAATCCGTGAACAACACTGTATGATCCATAAATTATTGTTTTCCATCTATCTGGCATATGTATGTGAATTTGTATGTATCAAAACTGTAACGACACAGGAGATAAAATCTAGTATGGAGGCATTTTTTAAACCTCATTGTCACTTCATAATATTATTTCTAATTATAAGTTTGAAATCGTCAACCCACATTGAGCAAGCGTGGTGATTAATGCTCAAACCTTCTCCGTGTGAGAAAAGGCCTTTGCTCAGCAGTGGGCACTTGTAGGCTGATGATGATGATGATGATGTCATATCCCCCTCTCTGGTGATACAATACGCCAAGCTTAGACGGTCACTCATCCATTTCACCAGCCAGGTATTGAACCATAGCATCAAATACTATCTTTTTGACACACTTCGCTGCATACACGATACCCTATTGTTGGTGGCATTTGATTATCCCCAAGTAATAACTGTGTTTTAAGCTGGTTGCTACAGACATTGTGGGTTTTCCAGGGGATGTTGATGAAACCTTTGAATTGTTGGTTGGATCTACTATTCACTATGATGATGTCATAAGTTATAAGATGTTACCTCAGAAGGATACGATTACGATGGGTATGCTTACCTTTAAAGAGGTAAAAGTTTGTATGTTTGTAAGTTGTATGTAGGGAGTAATCTTTGGAACCGCTGGTCGGATTGCCAAAATTCTTTCATTGATAGGTACAATGTTCCTGAGTGCTATAGGCTATAAAACATCACGCTACGATCTAATGGAGCTGAGCAGCGGGTGAAACCGCGCGAAAGTAGCTAGTGGTAAAATATTTTAAGACATAACAGCCTTTTACAAGCATTGCAATAATTATCATTCTAAATCAAAATTAATTAGACATTGTAACTTATTATTTTCTAGTAGTATTAAATTAAGATATAATACAATATTCTTACTTTGCAAAGAAATAAATGATTTATGATAATAGTAACGTCAAAATGGAATGTTAATTATATGGAATGTCAATTACAATTAAATTAATACAATGATTCATCAATGTTTAGGGCACAGGTTTAGTCTGGCTTCAAAGGTCCTTCATCAGGTGATCTGAAATTACTCATCCAACAATATCTATATACTAGCCCAAATTTATCATCGATGTCAGTACCACGTTTAGACGTCGCGTTTACAAATGAAAAAATAAAAACCCGCTTGTCCATCATACGCCAGTAACGCATTCTATCCTATTTCGGCCACACAGTGCGCAGAGGCGATGAAAGTCTGGAAGAAGCAGTTCTTCCAGACTTTCATAAGTAAGTTGCTTTTTTTTATAAGCTAGTGCTTGACTGCGATCCCACTTGATGGTAAGCAGTGATGCAATCGTTGATGGTAAGGCGCACTACTTTATTAAGAGCCTATTCACTCTAGCCTTGAAGACACCTAAATTGTATTCGGACGGAAAGACTGCAGCCAACAAACTGTTCCAATCCCTCGATGTACGCGGTATAAATGACGAGGCAAAACGCTTAGTCCGGGCCGCCTTAGTCGTTTGCTTTCGATGTTCCCAACGACTGGCAGCAGTCGTTGGGAACATCGAAAGCAAACGATCACATGGTCGATCACCAACCAGATGGACAGATCAAGTGAAAGATTAATTGCTCTCTGAATTCTTCGCGGTAGAGAGAGATGCGCTCCACCACAGATGTTACCCCCACGATCCTCAGATATGAGTGACCGTATATAAGAATAAGTTACAAAATAACAAGCAAGATACCTATCATCATCTACTGACGAACTGATTATCCCGTCATAGAAAATTATACAGACGATCGCAGCCAACGCTACGTCTTGCAACATATTATAACTACTGATATTGCGATATCATCACGCTACTTATTTTTATATCGTAAGCAGGCTATTATAGTTTAGCCAAGGTCATATTTACCGAGACTACAAAGTGGTTCGGTCAAAACAATGAATTAATTTAGTTTGTTAATAAATATGTCAATTTTGTTTTTGAGGAAGAAAATTATCACATTTAAGTTTGTCGGCTCGATCGGAGTGATACCACGGCCTCACAGAAAACCGATGTGAAACAACCACAGAGTTGTGTTTCGCCGTGTGAGTGTGGTTACCGGTTACCCTCCCCAATCCCTAAATCTCCAAAACCCTAATCCCTAAAAGGTCGGCAACGCACTCGTAACTCCTCCGTTGCGGGTGTCCATGGGCAGCGCTGATTGCTTACCATCAGGTAATCCATCTGCTCGTTTGCCGACCTATTACATAAAAAAACAGGCTTCTTTTGCTCAGTGTTAGGTGAGAGGGAGTGTCAGACTCTTACTGATTAAAAACCTTCCCATTCCTTATCCTGCTCTAGGCCAGAACCGCGGTATTTCATCGCGCTTGCTCCGCAACCCCGGCTGAACATCAGCTCTATAGGGCTCCGTCTGTAGTGGTCTATTGGCTCATGAGGCGCGTGCGGAATGACTGAATTAATGTTTGTAGATAGGCCACAAAAAAGATGTTGTTGTCAAAAAAAAGATGTTGTTTTAAAATCTAGATGCAGGCTACGGGCCAAGCGCAGTAAGGTGCCGCGGCCTCGGCCTAGAGCAGAAGATGGAACGGTTTTTTTTGTAGTCAGTAAGAGTCCGACACTACCTCTCGCTCCACACAGGGCGGGATAAACCATAGGATGATTTCAATCTTCTTTCACGGAGAAAGTTTGAGCATTGATCACCATACTTGTTCAAGTTTGTTTGTGTGTGTTTTTATGTTTAGTTTGTTATGTTAGTCAATAATTATTATTATATAAACTGTGTCATACCTAGCTATAAGTACATAGTATGCATAAAATAGGGATATTTAAATAAAAAAAAAAACCCAAGTAATTGCACCTTGGTACTAAATTCACTATTATGTATAAAATAAATATGTTATTGTATAAAGAGCGCCTCTCGCCATCAAACGTTAAAGTTTGGCGAGTTTAGATGATAAGGACACTTTTCTGTAACTTTACTGAATAAATTATTAAAAAAAAAAGGCTCTTTGCCGATTTCATACTTAGAAATTATAAGTCCAGGTTTCCTCACGATGTTTCCTTCCACCGTATGTCGGCGGTGTCTAAATAATCATAGAATGTATGAACTTTCTTCTAAAGCACCAATCTCATAGTTTCTTTAAAGAGCCTTCGGGCTATCATGACATTTTGAATGGGTGATTTTATCCCCTCGGAAAAGGTGTCCTCTCTGCCCTAGTAACACTGCTTGCCCTACATCACGATCAGCGTGATATTAGCAAAACCTAATCTCATTAAAATAATCAGTTAGCAACCATGATTAAATGATAAAAATAACTAACATTTAATGTATGTAAGTATGTACTTTTACAAATTAGTTAAAATCACGTTAATTAATTGTTTTCAGTTATCAAATTAAAATATGAAATGTATTTTATTTTGTGAAGTGAAGTTAATAAAGGGTAGTGCACAAAGAAACAGTTTTGAATTCAAATCTTTATATATGTATAAAAAGCAATGCCACTTTTCTACTCAACAATGCGTTTACCGGTTTGGCTAATTTTAGTCTTGAATTATTCGTGGAAATCCAGATAAGGTTTGTACGTAGAGTTTAAAAAAGAAAACTTAAATAGTGTAAAATCGACGTCCACGCAGGCAGAGCCGCGGGCGACCACTAGTTTTATATACTAAGAACTTCTCCATACAATTTCTTCAAGGTTTTTTAATAGGTTGCCAAACTAGAGGTTAATCATTTGATTGTAAGCGATCGACGTCACCTATACCCGTAATATCAGATCAGTTTTAAGTGCGTTGCTACCTTTTTGGGAGGGAGAATGGAACTCCTATACGAGGGTTGTAATTGCATTTTCCAAATGAAACTTTGACTCACCTTTATATTTTCTCCCGTGTCGTGGGGAGTACAGAAATACAATTTTATATACACGAGTCACCCAGACCCGGAACAAAAATTTCTGGATTCCAGGAAGAGTTGTTCCGTGTGTAACATCCACTGCGCTAAGTGTCCAGTCAATTTTGACAGGCTGGTTAAATATTGCTGTTTTAAATATTCTTGTTTATCAGAGCCCTATTGATCTGTGTCAGTCAAATGCCCTTTCGTTAGGCACTTCGTCATATTTTGCCAAGTGCCCACTGCTGAGCAAAACCACATTTTCACACGGAGAAGGTTTGAGCACTACGCACGCTTACTCAAGGTGGATTGGCAAATTCAAACTTATACTTAGAAAATTTTAAGTCTAGGTTTCCTCACGATGTTTAGGTACCTTCACCGTATGTCTGTGGTGTCTAAATAGAAGTACACATACTTAACTAGGAAAAAGTCACTTTGGTATTTGTCAGGTTTTATACCCATGAGGATGCCATGCATGAGATGCAGGCGCCTCGTAACCTCCGGGCCACGATGTCATTTTTGCCATGACCACATAAATCACATAAAATGCTTACCCATATTATATACCTACCGTATATTTATTTCAAACCCGCAGATATTTTTATATTATACCTATTGTTAGGATCAACATTAGAACGCAAGTATGTACCAACCTTTACTAACATTCGGTTCCCTATAAATTGCGATATTTCGCAATATTTGTGTCAATCCATCGTTAGTTAGACAAGATGGCGGCCTTTCCCGCCTTTTTAGCTTTGTTCCTGTGCGTCTCTCTAGCGTCGGGCTACACTTTGTTACGTAAGTTTTATTTTATTTTATTATTGTTCCTTTTTTTTCAAGTTTTTTCTGCTTGTAGCCAATTTTGGCTACAGAAATGAAATCATTACTTTTTGGTAGATTAATGCAAAGTATCAATTGGGTGATACTTTTGATTTCATTTAACCAAAGTTACCAATGCTGGCGATTGAAACACACAGCAAGATTTTGGAAAAAAATATTTACTTTTTTCAACCATTCCAATAAAATATTGATACAATTAAATAAGAGGTGCTAAATATGTTTTTTTATATTTTACATTTGTATTATTACATTTGGCACTTCACTTCATAGGTAGGTACTTCACTTTAGGTATGCTTAAATCTTTAAAACTATGCAATGAATCTTGATGCAGTTTTTTTAAAGAAATAAGGATTTAAAATTAATATCTGTAATGGCATGCATTAATTAGCATACAATTTTAGTTTGACCATTACTCCGGTGCGAAGCCGGGGCGGGTCGCTAGTGGGTATATCTATTATATTTTTGTTTAATTACTTTTAAAAAATAGTATTAAAGTTGGATTTCTGTTCCCAGGAGATGACGAGAATGAAATAATATGGCCGTCCGAATACCACTTTAAGGGGGAAAAGCTTAACTTCAAATCATCCCTGAAAGAAAACTTTGAGATGTGGTAAGTTGATGTTAATTATTGTTCAAATTTGATAGTACTAAGATTGTAGGTATGTCACGTAAGATCTGATCAAACTTGCTAAGTAAACCAAGAGCTCAAGAGGTCGTAATATCAAAGTCAAAGTCAATTTAGGTAATTCAACTAAACCAAAATCAGGCACTTTTCAATAGACTGTTCATCAGTGAAGCTAGGTGGTCATTATAAAGTTAAGTTCGAATGGAGAAGAAAGAGAAAGAAACTCCGTCGTTACTCTTTTGAAACATATGTGCATATTATTTATTATGTTTGTGAGTCCTACTACTTATTTATTTTTCTTCTTAATTACTGTCCATTGTTTTACAATTGCATGCCTTTAATACTCCTATTTATTAAAAATTTTAGCATCTCATGTTCACTTCATGATGTAAATGGTGGCTAAACATAATTATAATGTACTAACATCTAGATGGTAGCGAATTTCGACATATAAAAAGACGAGTAAGAATCTCAATGGTTTTTCAATCAGTTTCACAATTTCCCATTATTTAGCCAGAGAGGCAGAAAAAGAAAGAAAACTTAAGGAGGTATTTTACTTCAGGTACAATGGTGAGCTGAACCGCTCCAGGATTGACTTCTACGATGGAACTGTCAAGAAATGGTACTACGGTGACACGGGCTATGAATATGTGGTATGCATAATGCTTATATTTTCTTGTTATATGCTCAGCCGGCTTTTTAACCGATATCCAAAACGGAGGGTAATTCTCAATTCGACCGTATACCTACATGTTTTTTTTTATGTTGGCTCGCCGATATCACCGTTCTTAAAAACCGATTTTGATAATTATTTTTTTATTGGAAAGGAGATAGTCCCAGTATGGTTCCATCATAATTAGATTCAAGATTTTAAATAGTTATTAAATATTATTTTCTATTTCACTAAATGAAACTACGTGCAAGCAACTTTGTACAAAGAAAATGTATTTTTTGTTTTTTGGTTTACTGGTTGAAATCGTTTTTTTTTAAATATTTAAGTGTTTTATTTTATTGCTTGAGAAAAAAAAATCTTCTCCAGATAATAAGTAAAGACATTGGAATAAAATTAAGTAAATTGGCCCAGATTTACACTTATTAGAAACTAGTGACCCGCCTCTGCTTTTCACGGGTTCAACTAGGTACCTCACTAAGAACGAAACGGTCACTTTTCCTATTCTTCCCAATGATGTATAAATCTATAGATACGTTGTCCGCGCTCTAAAATGGCAACATGAAATGAAGGCAATTTGACAACATCGCGCTTAGTCACGCACCAACCTCCCGCGCGACGCTACGTTTGTTATAATTTATATCGTGTGTGTAAACCTGTGCGAAACTAAAGAAAGCATGCCGTCGTGTGTGTTCAGAGGATGTACAAATTATACTCCAAAAGTTAAAGACAAAAATGTGTCATTTCATGCGTAAGTTCACCAAACAACCTATTTTTATTTTATTTTTTATCGACGCCGGCGCCCGCCATCTTATGGCGGCCGGCGAAGGAAGGTATAGTCACGTGCCGTCGGCATAACTGAAGATGTATATTTATCTCCCTCTAGCAAAGGCATTCCACTATACGATGTCATATTTGCTTTCCCTTTCTTTAGTCGTAGAAGTAGTTATCTTGTATTTTCGCCGTTTTTAAGCGCCGCGATGTTGGTTCATGACGTGTCTATATATAATACGTCATTGATTCTTCCCCACTACTTTTCTTTCGAAAATAACCTTCTCCTGAAAATAATACATACAACAAAAAAAGAAATTGCAAAATTGATCCATGCCAACCAACACATTTTGCTTTTCATATTTATGTACATAGATTGATAGAAAAATGCGGTGCCGTTCTCAGGGATCAGGCAACTTAAACCATGTTCAAATTACAGAAACACCCATTCACCACTGAGGAAGTGACTAATGAGGAAGTATGCCTCGTTCGATACTCGGAAGATGAACAGATTGACTTCCTGCCTGACGTCTCCAGCTTCACTTACACAGGTAACGAAAAAAATCCTATTTACACGAAGTACCACTTTTTTGTAGAAAAAATCATTAGACCTGGGAGTGGTGGTCTTGCATTTTTGGAGGCCATTTACATTGTTGGTTAAATTTGAGGCACATTATACCATTTTTATTGGGTGTCAGGTTTAAAATATTGCGAAAATGAAAAAAATAAAATGTAAGTAAATTAAAATTATAAAAAAGAATGATACCGATACAATTAATGTTGGAATGTTCCAAAACATTTCAAAATATGTTACTTCATTTTAATCTTTGATGTTTGGGTTTATCGAAGGTATACAACACTTTAGAGAACGTCCATAAATTACGCGAGGGGTTTAAGGAGGTCGAATCAAATCTCATCTAATCTTACGTTGGAGATAGGAGAATATCACGCAATTTTTTTCTGATTGAAACACAATAATATACTATTTTGGTCTAGTTAATCCAGATTGTGATCATGAGTAAGCAGAATCGTAGTACGATTAAGATCATTTACCAATAAAAGGACGATGCAAATTAGTTTTTTTTCTCTTTATACAATAACAATCCAACGCGTTTACGTAAGAAACTCACATTTTGATAAATCTCACGTGAGATTGGGAGTGAGGGAGGGACTTGAATAAAATCTCATGACATCTCATTAGGAGGGGAGGGAGGGGCAGAAAAAAAAAACACCTCACGTCATTTATGGACGCCCCCTTAAAAGTATTTTTTTTGGTACAAGTATCTTTTAATTTGGAATGCTCAATTCAGATGTTTTAAGTTTCATTCCAAAAAAACACCACATAATAAACTTGTCTGTGTATTATGAAAAACAATTTGTGGATCATCCAAAAAATGTTTCGTGCGGTCGTGACAGTGTTTCTTCTACCAACATCTTTCTGGTTTCTAGGTCAGACAATGACCATGTATGATAAGGTGGTGGATGTGTGGACCAGCACAGAGCCATATGATAACAAAGCCATCCGGGAATCCACGCTGTATGTCTTCAAGACTGACGCCGGTGTCGACATTCCAGTACAGTGAGTATTTCTTAAAACTGTTTTTTTATGAGATATGTTGGCGGATGATGGCTAGCAATCGGCGCTACCCATGAACACCCGCAACAACGAAGGAGTTACAAATGCGTTGCCGATTTTTTCGAGTTCGAATTGGTTTCGGATATTTAAGGTTGGCGGAGAGATGGGGGGGAGTAGAAGGAATGGGTCTCAGGTAGTGGGTCACACGGCGAAACACAACGCTGTGGTTGTTTCAAGTCGGCTTTTTGTAATGCCGTGGTATCACTCCGGTCGACGTACCCATTCGAACCGAAGCTTGGCCCTCCCTACCCAGTCCTTAAATATCCGAAACCATTATTCACAAAAGGTGCGTGGTGCACTCTTAACTCCTTTATTTTTGTGGATGTCAATGGGCGGCGCCGATTGCTTACTATCAGGTAATTCGATTGCTGAACAATCCCATAAAAAAACAAAATTCTAACTATAAAATAAAAAACAATATAATACAATCGTAATAATGTATTTTTTTTCATTCCACTAGGCATGTAACCAAGTCTTACAACTTGGATCTTGGAGAAGTAATTTCCCATGTCATCACCAACTTCTACGACTTCAGCGACACTGTTGATGAAGAAGAGCTGACTGTTGATGATGGTAAGCTAACAAGGACACTTCAGCTGTTCTGACATTTCTCTGTTTAATCTGGAGCTCCTGCAGCAATTGGAAAGAGAGAGAGAGGAGAGAGAGGCGAGAGAGGAGTTGGGTCTCTGATAACTCCAATGTCGTTGAGCGTCCTCATCTACAGACATAAAATTCAGAAATATTCAAAAGCATTTCAAAGATTTAACAGAAGGCACTACTCCTAAATTTCTTTACCAAATCTTTTTTCCAGATGAAGAATGTGAAGGTGTATCCCTTGGCAAGAACTTCCACAAGGACCTTAAGTTCTTCCACCCTGACATCCCTTCAGAACTGGACCAGGCTTTTGACTTGTACACCAACCACCATGGCAAGCACTACCAAGATACTGAACACCAGGTCAGGAAGACTATCTTCGAAAGCAACTGGAGGTGAGACTAATTTTTTTAAAGGAAATGATAAAAGACTAAATATAAATTTTGCATTATTTGCGATATTGGTGATATGAATAAAGGTCTGAGGGCCTACCAGGAGCTAGACACCTTTTATAGCTCCATCCCTCTTTCTTGCCCAGAAGATTCACGATTTAACACTTCATGGTAGGCCTACAGATGAGTGAACTACTTTTACTTTTACTGGGATCTAAAATATCTGTGCTACGTTAGGGCGAAGTCAGAAGAAACCCTGAATAGGGATAACAATTAGTAAGGGAATTATTATTAACTTTTTGGATTGGTCTTTGAAAATCTTTCAAAAGCTGTTTTTCTTGAAAGTTCTGGTCCTTTTACAATACCGAAAATGTAAATATAATAAAATATTTTTTTTCAACTATATTTCCTTATCTACACATTTTTCTTTTAATACAGGATGGTAGAAGAACACAACCGCAAAAACCTTGGCTTCAAACTAAAGCTGAACGAATTCTCCGACAAAACTCCTGAGGAACTGAAGTATCTGACTGGTACCTACCTCTCGACTCACCAGGACCCCGTTATGAAGCCATTCCCCCACAATTTGGCTGAGATTGATGAACTGGCTGAAGACTTGCCAGAGACCTTCGATCTGAGGATGGAGGGCGCTGTCACTCCTGTAAAGAGTAAGTTTACGATTTCTTTCCATTTCTGTATTTGTATAGTTCTTTGATAGCTCTGTGATGCGAAACGGACTCCTTTTTAACCGACTTCAAAAAAGGAGGAGGTTCTCAATTCGACGAGTATTTTTTTTTTTTAATGTATGTACACCGATTACTCGAAGACGCCTGGACCGATTTGCGAAATTCTTTTTTTATTCGATAGGGTATACTTGCCATTTGGTCCCATTGTCATGAGGTCAGGATCTGATGATGGAATCCTGGAGAAACCGAGGGAAACTTTCGAAAATTGTAGGGGCGAGTAGTTTTTTTGTATGATGTTTAAGCAGGCCTTTAACAACACTACAACTTGACGAAGGTCGAAGTCGACCAGATGATGGAGCTGGAAGATAGTCGAGGGATCTCCTTGACTATTTGGAGTAGTTGCGTTGTGTTTGGGCTTGAATGATTCGTATTGGCGAGCACTTTGCAGCAGGCTTAGTTGTAACTGTCATTAAGGGTCTGATGATGAGAACGAAGGACAGCTCAGGGAACTCCTGAACGGTCTACAGTAACTACTTCGTGTTTAAACTTAATTCATTTATATTGATGAAAACTTCGTACCTGTATGTATTATAACAACTGAAGGTCTGCAGTTTACCTGATGATGGCGACCATTGACCGTCGAGGGAATTCCGGATGGAACCGAGAGACAGTCGAGAGAACTCCTCAACGATTCATAGCAGCTTCCTTGTGTTTGAGCTTAATAAATTCGTTTTGATATGAACTTTACACCTAGATGGATTGTGACTGTCACTAGGGATCTGATGATGAAGACGAAGGACAGTCTAGGGAACTCCTCAACGGTTTACAGTAGCTATCTCGTATTTGGACTTAATTTATTTATATTGTTAAGAACTTTCCCTCTCCTAGAGAGATGACCTGTGTCCCAGTAGTGGGAAAATTAAAATGGCTGATAATGATGATGATGATGAGAACTTTCCCATTTCTTGGGATCTATATTTTTTAATAGAGCGGCTCCTTTCGTAGGCCTACACATAGCTAATTAAAAATATATACTATTCAATTTGTTAATTTATATTTAAAATGTTACTGTAGTTTACAGAAGAACTTGTAACAGACACTACAAAGTAAAAAATAAAAAAAACTACGTTTAAAAAAACCGACTTCAAAAACAAAAAAGTGTCAAATAAGTAATTAAAATTGATATTTTAATACCACTCTTACGTACGCGAAGCTAATACTTTTAATATTAATAATAAAACACTATCAATTCTATGTGCTACCTATTCATAGGTTTGAAGTCGGTGCCAAGCCCTAAACAGAATAAAACTAAATGAGAATTCAAACTGTTTAACTGCTAAAAGACGAAATTTCCACAACCAACAACGAAGCTACCTACTACTACTTTTAACATCCAAGTACGAGGAAACTTTCAGAATTCATAATTCATCCAAATATCTTTCTAAGCTATACACAGTTTCGCCGGTAACGCAACCATATAGACTTCTGATTCTACGCTAACGCCATCAAGTTAGAAAATCTTTACTAAATTTCTTAAACCCTAACACATAAATTCACACGCGCCCGGCGAGTGTAGGTACTCATGTATCATGCTTATTTATTATATTATGTATTAGGCTTGGCACCGACTTCAAACCTATGAATAGGTAGCACATAGAATTGATAGTGTTTTATTATTAATATTAAAAGTATTAGCTTCGCGTACGTAAGAGTGGTATTAAAATATCAATTTTAATTACTTATTTGACACTTTTTTGTTTTTGAAGTCGGTTTTTTTAAACGTAGTTTTTTTTATTAATGAAAGAGGTTCGCGTTTCCACCAACGAAGAGATGGTCATTTGATTTCCACTGCAAAATGAAACTGGGACAGAGAAATCATTTCTACTCTTTCTACACGCTCGTCTCTTTCCGTCCGACTATTTGTTGGTGGAAATACAAGTATGCAGTTTGCGTTTGCGAGTTTACCGAAGTCATTAATGGGTCCGATCCGCTCGCGGTGGAAACCGGGCTTAAGAATTTAAATATGATGAAATGACCTGATTAATAATTTTGTTCCCTTAAATATTTTTATCTGGTAGAGACAGACGGAGTTAATTTAAATTGAACATAAAATAAGAAACAATTAAATTCCAAGGAAAAGAAAACTAACATTAGAACAGAAAACTATTTAAATGATTATTTTTAGGGCCCGACTTTGGTTAATATTTCTAATAATCATCAGCCTATAAGTGCCCACTGCTGAGCAAAAGCCACTTCTCACACAGAGCATTAATCACCACGCTAGCTTAAGGCGGATTGGCAATTCCAAAATTAAATTTAGAAATTGTTACTATAAGTCCACGTTTCCTCACGATGTTTTCCTTCACCGTGTGTCAGTGGTGTCCAAATAATCACAGAAAGTACATATATCTTGAAAAAGTCACTTTAGTCATTGTCAGGTTTTAACCCGCACCTCATGTATAAGAAGGGCGCTTTAATCTCCGGGCCATCTCGACAATCTTTCTTCTAATTTTATCAAATAATTAATTGTAAACAATCTTAGAGTTTATTCACCTGTCTAATAAAAAAAAAACTGTTTGTAAGTTCATACGACTAATCAGCCTTTATCACGTCCAGACCAGGGTCACTGTGGATCCTGCTGGGCTTTCTGTACAACTGCTGCCGTCGAGGGAGCCGTCGCCAGGGCTAATGGAGAGAGGCTGGTAGACCTCAGCGAACAGTCTCTGGTAGACTGTGCTTGGGGGTAAGTTAGAGATGGTTTTTTTGGAATCAAGTTTGTGTTTCCTTCAAATATACAACACTTTTTGGCCCTTTACAAATAAGTTTTGCTGATCAATTTTTATTGGATAGGTCGGCAAACGAGTAGACGTGTCACCTGACGGTAAGCAATTGACATCGCCTTTGGGCACCCATAACATCATAGAAGTTACAAGTGCATTACCGGCTTTTTGTGTGGTGTAAGGGATTTGAGGATTGGTGAAAGTAGTAATCCTAAATAGTCTTCCGGTAACCTTATTCACAAGGCCTGCAGTGCTTTATGACGATATTTTCTGATATTGCTCCGAGCCAGCCCATTTATGTTTGGCATCTTCTTCTTCATCATACTCCATCTTCCTGGCATAGCTCTCCCACACTTACCTTTGAGTTTGAGGTAAAGGTTTGTTGTTTATTTCCTTAGCTATGACAACATGGGCTGCAGCGGAGGTACCCTGGACGGTGCCATGAAGTACGTGATGACCCACGGTATCCCAACCGAGGAGGAGTACGGTCTCTACGAAGCTAATGTGAGTCGAATCTAATTACATATGAGTATAGACAAATATTTAGATATTTACTAGTAGCTAAAGAAAAAAATAACAGTTTTATTGGAGAAGCTCAATAGATGACTAAAAAAGAGGGTAAGTCGTTTGACAGACACAGCCCTGGCCTGAAGCGGGAGAAGGATCAAGTTGGCTTCCCTAGCCGCGAGAGAAGTCATTTGATGATGGTTCCCCCTAAAAAAGAAACGCTTTGTTGTGTCTGTAAGAAGTAGAAAATGTTGTCCTTAGACATGCATTGCGCGTACACAAAGTACAAAAGTCGATCGGTTATTCGACTTGACCTATAAACCTGCGTCTTCATTATTTCCTCTAGAAAATAGGTACAATTCCTTATTAGCATTTTTGGTGACTAATTCATCTTTTTTCTCTTCCAGGACGGTTTGTGCCGCATCCAGAACATGACCAACCCCTACAAAATCCGTGGCTTCGCGCAGGTCACACCCAGGAATCCTAACGCTCTGAAGGTGGCACTCAACAAGTACGGACCTGTCACCGTTGCCATCCACGCCAGCAGTCTCATGCAGCACTATGCCACTGGGCTCTTCTACGATTTCTCTTGGTAAGTTATAAATAACTACGAAAGTTTGGATAATCGTATTATTTGAAGCTCCCTAAGTAAAATATCATGGTAGGACTGGGATTTTTTTGTCAAAGTCAAAGTCAAAATCATTTATCCCAATTAAACCATAAATAGGTACTTTTAAAACGTCAAAAGTTTGAGAGGGGAACATCTTACAGTTGCTTTTCCCACCTTGAGTCGGCCCAAGCCGGAATGGAGTAAGTGTAGTAATGACGTTATGCGGACTAAAAACCACCCTGTTTGAATACTCTTATGCGCATAATCATGCATGCGTTTCAAACTCATATTGCAAAAGGAATCCATTGATTTCGTATAGTAATAAACCCATCATACTACTATCAATAATCGGTTTTTTCTGGATTTCTTTAATTAATGTTTACGATATTTAAAATCGTATGGAGTTTATTTATTTATTCTTTATATATAATTGCATATCGGAAGACTTAGTGCTAAAAGCATTTTCTGCCATTCAACCTTTTTGAATTCAAGTTCAATCTTTTAAGTAGTTTATTTTGTAAGGTCTACTGAATTTAAGGTTTAAATTTCACACTTAAACAATGCAAATAATTACATCGTGAATATAACTTGTGCGTTTTCAAGTGCCAAGTGAATATGTTGCTTATGGGTAGGCGTGCTCCGTAGGTCGCATCATTGCACATGATAATGATGATAGTCCATGAAAACATTATATAAAATGGGTGAATTATTATGTATTGATGGAATTTCTCCATTTTCAGTGATGACACCTACCCCAACCATGGTGTTACCGTGATTGGTTATGGCACCCGTGATGGTGAGGACTACTGGATCGTGAAGAACTCTTGGGGAGAGGATTGGGGTGAAGATGGCTTCATCCTGATGTCTGCTAAGAACAACAACTGCTTCGTTCTTGACTCACCCTACTATCCCATCGTCTAAGTTAACATTTTTAGAATAAATTCCACGTGCTGTTGAGTTTGTGTGTTTTATTTCTGTTTTTAGGTTTTTATAAATTAAGGCTAAGATCAATTGAAAATATTATTTCATCTCTACAAATGCTTGTATTACTGCACTATTGAAAAAGAGATTTTAAAATATTTGTTTAAAAAATACGCCAAGTAGCGACATCTATTGGCATTTTCTTCAAATACTGAATAATGGTGGTCATACAAATATTTAAAGGCCTTCAACATTATAAATTACAGTTGGAAAGTTTCAAAATTAATCAAAATCAGTCGCAGCAATAAGTAAAACACAAAGATCTGCATTAGAAAGCCACAGTAATAATTGTCATAACTTTTATCGCTGTATTTAGAACAGCGCCATCTATCATACTTTTCCGACACTATTCATGCAGAAGTTAGAAATTGCCGCCATAAACTCCAGTAACGGCTTCGTTTAGCCACATTTTATTTGAATGCATTAACTTTTATAACATGTTGGCTTACGTGAACGAGTTTGCAAAATGTTGTGCAGTAAAATGGAGTACGTTCCAAACGTACTGAACACAATTCTCTTAGGAAAACTTCGTAGGTAAACATGGAGAGTTTTGTAGTACCTAATTTACTCACAAAGATAATTATTTTGTTCGTCTACTGATGTGTTTGAGGTTTGTTAACGTTTGACTTTGACTTTGACTTCGTACAAATAAGTGGTTGGGAGTCAGCAGATCAGGTATCTGAAATTTTATCACAATATAGGTAGGTATATTATGTTAAACCGAATAAGGATCTAATAAAACAGAATGAGCAAAGGACTCCTTCATTGCATAATTTATAGTTCTGCAGTTCCAGTTTGGAAGGACTGATTGGGTTACATACAGTTCCTAATAAGTGGTCCTAAACCAAAGAAAAATGTTAGTTAAACCTTTTTTAATGAGATAAGTTGACAAACGAGGTTACCAGGTGGTAGTAATCGGTGCCGCCTATGGACACCTGCAACAGGACGTATTTAGGGTTCGGATATTTAAGGATTTGGAAAGGATAAAGGGATGGGAATTATTGGGCCAGTAATCAAATTCACACGGTGAAATACAACGCTAAGGTTGTATCACGACGGCTTTAGTGAGGCCGTGGTATCACTCTGGTTGAACTGACCCATTCGTATAGAAGTTTGGTTCTTCCACTCTTAAAACATATGTAACAGCCAGTTGTCTAGCCCTTGCAACAACTGAATAAAGGTAAATATTAAGGATGCAAAGTTTGAAACATTCACCGAATTGTGAATTCTTTTAGAACGGTAAAATTATTACATAACCGTGTTTTATATCAAACATTTTCTTTTTAATATTTATAGCAAAAGTAAAAAATTTAAAATCATTTTCGGTACTACCTACAACCATTTAAACACTAGTTTCACCAAGACCGATAACAGATGTCGCTACTTGTCTAACGTAAGATAAGTGTTTTTATCAGCACAAAATGCGGTCCTTACATTTTACGATGCCACGCCACGGGGAAGTTTTTTTATTTTCAGGTAACAGAGGAACATAAACTATCCATTTATTTCTGTATATAAAGTTTTTATATCTGTTATATTTCGTGTCATATTTGGCTATGAAAACGGTAATGTATATTATATTAAAGGTATTTCTAGGCGCTTTTGCTTTTTGCTTTTTAGGTATTTTTGTAGAGAGCGTTCAGCGATTACACCTACTTTCGTACTGGGTTTGTTAAGATTAGTTCCATTGTGAAATAACTAATAACCGACAGCCATATACCTAAGTAGTTTTTCTTTTTTACTAAAATTCCGTAACGTTTTCAAAATTCTTTAGTTATATTTAGTTAAAATATAACAATAATAATAGGTCTTTACCTATGAAATTGCCGTTTTGCATAAAAATATTAAACGATTTTTTTGATTTGAAATGCGATGAAAATGTAACACTAATCAATAAACAAATGACTACTTTTGGAAAAAGAATCCCATGTTTTTAAAACAAAATTAATTAGCCTTAGCGTAACAAAAACTATTTTGATTTGAAATGGCTAGAACTGCAGAACGGCAATTTCATAGGTAAAGACCTATTATTATATTCATTAAATACATTACAAATAATACTATATTCATTTCATTACGTTTAACATTTATATTACTGTAATATAATATTATCGATCTGAAAATTGCAAAAAAAATAAAGCATAGGTATTAAGATTTCGCAGACTACCTTGAATCATTCCCTTTATTTTATCTAAGTTACTGCATTTTCTAACCGATTATAACACGGGTCATAACAACATCAGAAAACCAGGGCGTCCAAAGAGCAGACGGAGTGACGATATTCGGCTAACCCTGGGACCATTTTGGACCAGAGTCGCGGAGGGTCGAGCTCAATGTAGAGAGCTATTATAAATAATTAAATAATGTATTGTTTTGTTTGTTTTTCAATGTGGTTCGGAATAAAAGGACTTTATTATTATTATTATAACACTACGCGTGTTATAAAAGCCAATTTTTGCCATCATCATCATCATCATCATCAGCCCTTTTCAGTCCACTGCTGGACATAGGCCTCTCCTATTGCACGCCACTGGGATCGATCTTCGGCCACTCGCATCCAGCTCCTGCCAGCCATCTTGCGCAAATCATCACTCCACCTTGCCTGAGGACGTCCTACATTACGTTTGCCGAGACGCGGTCTCCACTCAAGAACTCGTCTACTCCAACGGTCATCGGTTCTTCGGCTAATATGGCCAGCCCACTGCCATTTCAGCTTGCTAATCCGGTGGGCTATGTCGATTACCTTGGTTCTCTGCCGGATCACCTCGTTTCTGATTCGATCTCGCAGAGAAACGCCGAGCATAGCCCTCTCCATAGCTCGCTGAGTGACTTTTAGCTTGTGAACCAGCCGCACCGTCAGTGTCCACGTTTCGGCTCCGTATGTCATGACAGGTAGGACGCACTGATTGAAGACTTTCGTCTTTAGGCACTGTGGGATCGACGACGTGAAGACTTGACGCAGCTTTCCATATGCTGCCCAACCTAGCTGAATTCTTCTATTCACCTCGTTCTCGAAGTTGTTTCTACCCATCTGCAATGTCTGCCCGAGGTATACATATTTTTGAACGACTTCGAGAACAGCGCCGTGTACTGCAATCGGTTCCGGTAGTACATGTTCATTGAACATGACCTTGGTTTTATCCAAGTTCATCCGTAGGCCGATGCGTATAGAAGAGTCAGCCAGGTCATTCAGCATCCGTTGTAGGTCCTGCAGCGTTTCTGCTACGATGACGATGTCGTCTGCAAATCGCAAGTGAGAGATGTACTCGCCATTTATGTTGATGCCGCGTCCTTTCCAGTTCAGCGTCTTGAACATATCCTCCATTGCATTTGTGAACAATTTCGGGGAGATAACATCCCCTTGTCTCACACCTCGATGCAACGGTATCGGCCTTGTTTGCTGATCCTGTACTTGGACGGACATGGTGGCGGCCTCGTAGAGACATCTCATCACTTGGATGTATCGCCAATCTACTTGGCATCGCTGCAGGGACTCCAGAACAGCCCAGATTTCGACCGAGTCAAAGGCTTTCTCATAGTCCACAAATGCTAGGCACAGGGGCTGATTATACTCCTCAGTCTTCTGTATAATCTGCCGCACTGTGTGGATGTGGTCTATGGTGCCGTATCCGCTCCGAAACCCAGCCTGCTCCGGTGGTTGGAATTCGTCAAGTCTTCGCGCAAGGCGGTTCGTGATCACTCTCGAGAACAGCTTATAGACGTGGCTTAAAAGGGAAATGGGTCGATAATTCTTCAGTAGGGTTTTGTCACCCTTTTTGAAGAACAAGACGACCACACTCCGACTCCACGCCTCTGGAGTTCTCCCTTCAAACAGGACAGCGTTAAATAGCTTTTGCAGCTCCCTGAGTACCGGTTTGCTGCCTGCTTTTAGAAGCTCTGTCGTAACGCCATCCTCTCCAGGGGCTTTTCCATTTTTAAGCTGTCCAAGAGCGATCTCGATTTCGTCAATGCTGACTTCTGGCAGGTCTTCGGTGTAATGGCGTATTAAAGTGGCTCTAGAGTCCTCATTTCCGGGGTCAGGTCGAGATGCATGCGAAGCGTATAACCGGCCGTAGAAGTTTTCTACTTCCGAAAGAACTGCCGGCTTCGAGACAACGACTTCTCCACTTGCTGTGGTCAACTTCGTCAGGTGGCTTCTTCCAAGAGATTGTACGAACACTTTTGGCCCCCGGTTTTGCTCGATCGCTCTCTCGATTGCAAGGGTATTCGAGCACCGGAGATCGTGTCGCACGTGTTTGCTAATCTCTCGGTTTAGAGCCCGCTTCTCTGACGAAGTGGGTTTTCACGTCGTCTCTTCATAAGCCCTAAAGTCTCTTCCGAAAGCTTCGACTTCTTGCCCTTACGCTGCATTTCACAAAATCTCGTACCTTCTTCCCTGAGAACTCGAACCACGTTTTCAAGGTTCCGGTTAACGTCGGTTGTGGTTTCCAGGGCAGCAAATCGGTTCTCCAGGTTTAACTGAAACGCTTCAGATCCCATTTTGATTTGAAACAGGGTTGGTCCGAATTTTTGCCAAGATGCCTTCATTTACAAGTGGATGCAGTGCGGTCGATGATACTCGTAACGATCCCCAAAAGGTCGGCAATGCACTCGTAACTTCTCTGTTGTTATGGGTTTGGGTGCGGGTGATTGCTTACTATCAGGTAACCCGTTTGCCGACGTATCACACATCAATCATCATTCTCAACCTATAAGTGCCCACTGCTGATCAAAGGCCTCTTCTCACACGGAGAATGTTAGAGCATTAATCACCACGTTTGCTCAATGTGGGTTGGCAATTTCAAACTCATAATTAGAAATTATAAGTCCAGGTTTCCTCACGATGTTTACCTTCACCGTATGTCAGTGGTGTCTAAATAATCATAGAAAGTACATATAACTAGTAAAAGTCACATTGGTACTTGCCAGGTTTCGAACCCACACCCTCATGCATGAGAAGCGGGCTCC